CCTTTTGATCGAGTTTGCATACAGCAGGGTTGTACCTGGATCAAAAAGACAACAAGAAAAACAAAAAGTTAGTAACCTAAGTGAAAATTGAAATAGAACTTGATCTAAGCAAGTCTGAAATCCCAAATGTAACAAACAAACACCCAAATGGCAACGGCGCCAAATTGATAGTAAGATTTTAACTAAGATCAATTATCCTTAAATCACTATCATGTCATTGTAGTATTTAAGGTGTCAATCCAAATGGATGTGATGCTAGCAATCAAGATGCAATCAGATATCACAGAGTCAAGCCAAGCAAATACAGGTTTGATGTTGTTAACAGTTCTAGTGATCATGCAGAAAACAGAAATTCTAACAATAACAGGCAATATACTCGATCACACAGCTTGATGTCAAGCACTGGGTGTGGTCGAGTATCAGGTCGAGTAACTTAACAGAAACTGTAAACAGGGTACTCGACTGCACAGTTTGTCACCAAACTACTGGGTGTGGTCGAGTACTTCAAATGAAACAAGTAAAAATGCGAAAACTAAGCAACAAGTAACGAGATCAGGCAATCAAAAGCGATGTGAACAAAGAAATCAATTGGAAGAGAAATTCCCGAGGATGGGGTAATCGAGTAGTGAAGTCTCCTTAATCTAACAGGTGGTTAACATGCTCAACAAACTATCCCTAGACAACAAGTTCAATAACCAAATCAAAGTGCTACCGCAACAGAGATCCTCAAGCAAAGCTAGTCCCAGACTCAATCACCATTGACGAGAGCTAACCTAACAGGCATTACGAAACAACAAGTCTAAGCCAAAACGCTCCCTGTAACCAATACCTTGGTACAGAGCCACGAATCTCTGGAATTAGTGGTTCAGACATTTCATCGAACACCTTTTGGGTGCGGAAATGTCTGGGCTCAGATTCCAGTTGATCAGAAAGCAATCAGCATTAAGAACAACTAATCCAGAAGGGATCTACCAATCAAACTCAACCACCTAGCAGATCAAGGATTCTAAACTACTCTAACCCATCCTCAAGAACCCTAATCACTACTCAAAACTCATGAACATGAACATAAACCCAGAAATGCATAAAAACTTCATACTAGCAAGATCTCAACAAGATGAACAACTTTGTAGAAGAAATCAAAAGCAAATACTCAATAGATTAAGAGAAATCTGGATTACAAATATGAAGAAAGCACTAATTATTCTGCAGAAAAAGACTTAGACAGAATAAAAACTTCTCTTGAAAATTATGAGAAACAACCTATTTATAGCAAATACTAGGAAACCCTAAATCACAAGACGACAAAGTATTAAGGCGGTTTACGGAGATACTCGACCCTTGTGATCGAGTAGAGAGGTTGAATAAAGTTGGCGCCTTTGCGATTTCTTGCTCTGGGCATGTCGTGATCGAGCATTTGGGTCGAGTATGTGCTCGAGTTCTGCTTCATCCTCTTCTCTTCCTTATGCTCAATGTCTGGTTGAGTTGGGATCTGAGAAGACTGTGAAGCTTGTGATCAAGTAGCTGCGGGGAGGTGGTGATCGAGTAGATTGGTTGGTGGCACGCTCTGGACTGCTTCTTCAACCCTGCGATCGAGTAGAACTGTGAACTGGCAGGATGGACTGCCCTGTGATCGAGCAGAACTGTGAACTGGCAGGATGGACTGCCCTGTGATCGAGCAGAACTGTGAATTGGCAGGACGGACTGCCCTGTGATCGAGCAGAACTGTGAACTGGCAGGATGGACTGCCCTGTGATCGAGCAGAACTGTGAATTGGCAGGATGGACTGCCCTGTGATCGAGCAGAACTGTGAACTGGCAGGATGGACTGCCCTGTGATCGAGCAGAACACTCTTGATGGTCTGCTGAGCTGACTGCTTCCCTCTCTGCTACTGGTGATCGAGCAGAATGGTCCAAATGTGACTTTCAGCTATGTTTTTCAACTTTCTGAACACCAATAGCCCCGAAGCACCTGAAACAACTCAAATATGCAACATGCATGCAAAACTACCCTAATCATGCAAAGTGATGACAAATGATGAAGAATGGTATGAAACAATGACGAAATGATGATAAAGTGATGCTAAATGGATGCTCAAAACAAGTGAAATATAGACATATCAAGACCTTTCAACTCATTTATATATGCGTTCTAATCATCCAAGAATATGACTGTTTAACAAAAATTTCAACATTGAAGAGAGTCATAATCATATTGTGAGCTCAATCTCAAAACTTGATCTCTCATAGTAAAATGGATTTGTTTTTTAAATTTTAGGAGAGGATGAAGGAAGACATTTAATTATTAACACGAGGCAAAGCAGAAAGACATTTAATTATTAACATATATATTATCATTGGGTTGTTATATATAAAAAGTTAATGGATATTTTTGAAGAGTAAAATGGCCTAACCTCGATTTGATTCTGGTGTGATCGAACATAATCTATGATGACATCAAGCATTAAAACTTTAGAACGGATAAACTGTTTTGTTTTTAAAACTTTAGTAACCATTCTAGAATGTTTCAGAATCGGAGTTGTGCTTGTGTTTAGGATGAAACTGTTTTGTTTTGAGAAGATTGGTTCATGAATGATGTTTTGAAACATAAAACTAAGAAGGCTGCAACAAGAAGAAGCTTCATGTGTTCAATGGACTGGATTATTTTTTGTATTCATAGGTTTTGAAAAACAGGAAAGAGAGAGAGATTCAATGGACTTAAAATAATGAACTCGTTTTAAACATATGGAAGGAAATATATCCGTCCAGCTAGAAATTAAACATGTACAAATATAATGATTGTATCTTTCTATAATTATTTGTGGACTTAAACATATAATTATTTGTGCTCAAATCTTCATTCCACATACATCTTTCTGTACAGATGTATCCTTCTGTACAGCTGTATCTTTCTGTACAGATGTATCCTTCTGTACAGATGTATCTCTCTGTACAGTAGTTTATATCTATACAGTCATTCTTCTGTACAGTACAAACTGACTAATTCTCCAATTTTGAATAGTAAATATTACTACATTACAAACATTAATGAGCATTGGTCTATATCTGTACAGTGGTCTATATATGTATTTGTACAGTGGTCTTCCGTACAATGGTTTATATCTATACAGTGGTTTATATCTGTACAGACATTCTTCTGTACAGTGGTCATCTGTACAGTGGTATATATCTGTACAGTGGTCTATATCTGTACAGTGGTCTATATCTGTACAGTGGTCTATATCTCTACAATGGTTTATATCTGTATATATATTATTTGTACAGTGTTCGGTAATATAAATTTTAAAAATTATAAAACAAAATGCATATCAAATGATAGAGAAAAAAACATAGATTTTTATGTATATGATCAATTTTTGAAAAATAAAATATACGAACGAGCATTTTAATAATTAAACTTTGAGAGAATGAAATATAATAAAGAAAGAAAAAGAAATTTTAAAAAAAAAAACCCTGACCCACACTCTCTCTCTCACACCCACACTCTTATACGTCTCACACTCACACTCTTATACGTCTCACACTCTCTCTCTCTCACACTCTCTCTCTCACACTCTCTCTCTCACCAAATTATAAATAGTAACGGTACTAGTTCTACAATTAAGTTTGGAAAAGGTACTAGTTTCCCAACAAACCCTTATATTCAAGGAAATTGAAACGAAAAACATGTTACTTTCGAACGAGTATGTAATGTTTTGGATGAGTAGTGTGGATGTCGGAATCCGCAATACAAAATTGATGTGTATCGGATCGTCTAGCCTTGCTAATTCGAACAACAATCGTGAAAAGAAAACAAGAGAGTAAAGTCTATGTGTCTGTTTATTGCTCAAGAAAAATTCCCTCCTTCTACAATGGTTTTCGCTCTCTATTTATAATTACATGATTCAAAACCGAAGTCGCTCATCAAGCCGCAGATCTCGCCTTCATTATTGCTTCCGTTTCGAATCTTCCCTATCTAGCAGATCCCGCGCAACCCGCTTTTCATTTAACTTGTGAGATCCCGACGTTTCACTCGAACTGGGCTGCAACTTATTGGGCCGCTCTTTTCGTCCCCTAGACCGGGCCGATGGCCCACTTCATCTTATTGATCCACTATTTTTCCGGACCGGATCCGAACTGCGGGATCCGACACCAACAGTTTGCCCCCCAAGTGTCTCGAAGTATTCACTTCGGGATACTTTAAATAACAAATTCTTTTCGGGCTCGGAGATTTCGTCATTAATTCCGCTTTCCCCGGGATTTGGTTCCTCGACCAAAATGACGTTTCGAGATCTTAGGGTATAGATTTTCCCGCGTGTATGCTTCGGGATACTTATGATATTGAAAATCTTGTAACAAAGGAAAATAGTCTTAAATACCGTCAATCTCGGGATTTTTCCGTGTCCGAGGTGACGCTTCAAGATCCTAGGGTTTCACTTTTCCCGCCAACCGAGAGATTCTTCTCGGGAACGAGGCGACGCTTCGAGATCCTAGGGTTTTCACTTTTTTGCCAAAACGTTCTATATATAATACCGGACCCTTCGGGTTCTGTACCTCGTCTTCAACACCCACGATCCACTTCTGTCCACCGTTTATTTAAAGGTATCCCTCTTTCTCCTTACTCCTAAATTCTCCGATTGATTTTGTTTTTCGCTTTGAACTCTCGAATCCGATTAGATTTTTTAGAAGTAGATTACTCTTAGCACCTGCTTTCCGCTAGGTTTAGGCCATAGATCTGAAGATCTTTTAGATTTTCAACCGTAAGGTTTGAAGAAAACTTCCGTCAATTGCCGTTCCTCCGCCGTACTCCTTCGAATTCCGGTGATTCTCCGCCGTCATCCGAAGAATACTTTCCGTCGAGATCTTCATCTCCTGGGTTTTCGGCGAAGATCTTCATCAGTGTTCTCGAGGGTTTCTTGATCTTCATCAGTGTTCTTGAGGGTTTCTCGATTCATTTCTTGCCAGATCTTTTTTCATCTTTAGAGCTTTCAATTTCATGTTATGGCTCCGAAGAAGAGTAAGAAGGTCCGAAATGAATCTTTCATCCTCGAGGATGAGTTCGGGAAATACTTTTCCTCAGAACTCGATGATAGGAAACTAGCTCTGATGAAAGGCGGCTGCGGTATCCCTCGACAAGTTAAACTAATAGCTCCGGAGCCCAGAGAGTCTCCTGAATCTCCTCCTACCGGTCACTGCTGCGCCTTCGAAATATTCTTTACGGAGTGCGGCCTTTCCTTTCCTTTACCGGGGCTTCTGATAAAACTTATGCACGAACTGGGGATCGCTTTGCCTCAGCTTTGCCCGAATGTAGTTCGGATAGTACTATGCCTCCAGACTCTTGCAGAGGAGAATGGATACCGGATTACGCTATCCGACATTTTTCATCTCTACACAATGAAGAAGGGGCGAACCCCAGGAACCTTCTTCCTTAGCCCGAGGAGTCATTTCAGGGTCTTCGGAGACTTTCCTGAAAAAGATGAGAAGTGGAGGAAATCATATTTCTTCTTTCCTGTTGACGAGTTCACGTATGGTCCAGATGCAGGATTTTTTGTTCGGGACTGGACACGTCGTCCTGGTTAGATGGTTTTTAGGGATTTATTGCATATTTTCATTTCTTGACTTCGCTCCTCGGTCAAATAATCCTTTCCGTTTTGCAGTTAAACTCCCGAGGACACCGGTCTCTCACACCTTTGCAGAACAGTTCATCAGGATTTGCAATCAAAGTGACCTCGCGTGGGAGCTTTTTACTTGTGAACGAATTCGGAACTCGTGCTCCCGTGTCCGCAATCGCTCCGACCTTATTACTTCTTCTCCACCTCACACTTCTCCCATCATCGATAGAAACATGTCTCCAGTTTCCTACCGCGAAGAGAAGAGGCTCCAAAAAGAGAGGGAAAAGGTTAGGGAAGCAAGGGAAAAGGAAGATAAGGCCAGAATGGCGAAGGCCCTGGAAGAGGGAAAATCCAGATCCGCATCTGGGAAAGGAAGGACCTCCGGCTCTGTTATGCCGGCATCTGAATCGAAGACTTCCGATCATCGAGATCAAGTGAAGGAGTCTGCTGGTAAAGAGATAGTCCGAATTTCGGATTCCCGTTCCTCCCGATCATCTCGGGAAAAAGAGTATTCTGACGGAGGACCAACTGCAACTTCCTCGAGGAAACGCAAGAGCGAGGACTCAGATGTTCTTCCTCTACATCGCAAAAGTCGTTCTCACACGAATGTTGATGTGAATCCTTCCGAAGATGCCGGGACTACTAGCCAAGGAGCTAAAGACACTTCTCAGGGGATTCCGCTGTCCGAACCTCCCGGTCAAGTCATGGTCTTGCCTTCGCGAGATTCAGAGAATCGGGAATCTGGTCGTCAAGAAATCCCTATTCCAATAGGTAATCCTATATTGTTTTTTCGATTCTTTTTGCGAAGTACGAATCACTCATATTGATTTCCTATAAAACTTTCAATTAGCCCCTCCGAAGTCCCCAGCTGATTTCATGAGGAATTTCACTCCGGCTGGGATGAGGATCCCGACCTTCAGCGAGCTAAAAGAAGTCAACAGGGCGAATTACTTTCGCTTCGCCGACAAACTTGGAGAGGTACTTCCTTTAATTCTTATTTCAGCTCGTTTCGCTTGATCTAACGATTTCTTTTCATTCTGATAGATTATGCTCGAATACAACACCACCTTTTCTTGTCACGAGAGCCAGCTCTTCCCCGTGAACGAGCTTGACAGCCTTAGGACTCGAGTTGCTGAACTCGAAGAGGAGATCCGTCAGATGAAAGAGATGGAGGAAGAGAATGCTAAAGCTGTGGCGAAGGCCAACGATATCCGGGAACGGATGTTGAGTGCCGAAGCTCGCTGTAACCATCTTGATGTAGTTAACACGGATCTGTCGGTGAAACTGAAGACCGGAAAGAACATGTACCTTGAGGCATGTGACAAGATAACTTCGTTGGAGGCCGAAGTCAAGCGAAGTGAGGAATGGTGCAAGGTTGCTGCGGAAAAACGAGACGAGGAGCTCGCAGCAGCAAGGAAGGATGAGCGAAAGAAACTCCGAGAACATTACAGTGGCTTGATCTCAAAGCATGAGATCTACCTGAAAGCCCTGAGTGAGAATGAGTCGATAAGCAACCGAGCTGCGGAGACTAGAGCAAATCGGGAACTTCTCGAGGAGCTTAAGAGAGGCAAAATCCCGGATATTGATGCCGAGCTGGAGTTTGTGAAGAAGGATGAAGCGGATGCGGAGGCCAGAGTTAACAAGATAAACGCTCTCAAGCCTCGTCCTGATGAATTTGCTCATCTCTTTGTCGCCACTCCTCCCGAGTCAGCACCTGAAGGTCCTTATACCGAGGAAGAACTTGTAATCGATGAGTTCGATTCCAACAAAAATCTCATGTTCGAGCTCAAAACAGTCCAGGGGTCGGAGGAAAAGCGACAGCAGGATCCCGAAGCCTAAGGATCCTTGATTTGATTTCCGGGGTTGTTATGGCTTAAATGCCCCCCCTTTTGTTTTTAATCTGAACCTTTTGCTTTTGCTTCCCGTATCTTTTGAATTTTTTAAAAACTTAAGCTATTTCCTTCCCGAAAATCTTCTTTGCTAACGCAAGTCGGACAAGAAGTTCGTAAAGGAAAACGAAATACACTTGAAGTATTTCCGGTTTTCAAGAAACATGACACGAGACTTGGACATCGAAGTTCGATTTGAACTGTGTTGAACCAGCTATTTTTTTTAAGTAAATATACTTAGAAATTGTTTTAGATTAAGATTCGTCTATTCGAGCACTGAGCTCGGAAGAAAAGAATCTTAAATAGTACGAAAATAACTCTTTCGGTTTGCGAGGAGCGAATTACGAGATTACTCTCGATTTTGAATATTTAGATTGTTTCAACAACGTAAATATTTTTGACTTTGCGAGCTGCGAGATAGATCTCGGCTTTGAATATTTAGACTGTTTCAACAATGTAAATGTTTTTGACTTTGCGAGCTGCGAGATAGATCTCGGCTTTGAATATTTAGACTGTTTCAACAATGTAAATATTTTATTGATTTAGAAACTGCACTCGAGGTACGAGCTGCCTACGTACCCAAAGGTGGGGATCAAGTCTGTCGTAGTTCGATTTACAATAATGAAAATAATGTGATTAAATAAAGTATCTCTTCAAATGAATGGAATTCCAAGCTCTCCGAACTGCTTTTCCTTCCATGTTCTCGAGACGATAAACTCCGTTGCGAACTACCTGAGTAATTCGATAAGGACCTTCCCAGTTAATACCTAGCTTTCCAGCTCCATCCTCGGTAGTATTTTGCTGAACTTTACGCAGTACCAAGGTTCCAACGTCGAACTGTCGACTTCGGACAGTCGAATTATAGTATCGAGCTGCGGCATTCTTGTAATTTTGCATTCGAATCAAAGCTCGATCACGCCGCTCCTCAATGGTATCAATAACGTCAACCATCAGTTCGCTATTTGCTGCCTCGTTCTGCGGGTTATTCATTCGTCTCGGACTTGGCACAAATATTTCAGCAGGGATTACAGCCTCCATTCCATAAACTAATGAAAATGGCGTTTCACCAGTTGCACGCCTAGGAGTAGTGCGAATTGCCCAGAGAACACTCTGTAGTTCGTTAAACCAAGTTCCTTTGTGCGACTTGAGTTTTTTCTTCAAAGTAGACAAAACAGTTTTGTTCATTGCTTCAGCTTGGCCATTACCCTGCGGATAACGAGGCGTTGATCGACTGAGTCTGATTTGCCATTCTTCGCAGAACGATTCGAATTGCCGCGAAACGAATTGAGGTCCGTTATCAGTAACGATCTCATATGGCAAACCGTGCCTACAAATGATGTCCTGCCAAATGAACTTGCGAACTTGAACCTGAGTTATGTTTACGTAGGCTGCCGCTTCTACCCACTTCGAGAAATAATCAGTGAGAACCAAGACAAATTTCACTCCACGAGTAGAAACATGAAGAGGCCCAATAATATCCATAGACCATTTCATAAATGGATAAGGCGAAGAGACTGATGATAATGGCTCGGTGGGTTGGTGTATTGAAGGAGCATGCTTCTGGCATTGCTCGCACTTCTGCGCATATTCCTCGCAATCCGCGATTAACGTGGGCCAAAAATATCCGTACTTTCTTACTTTATAAGCCAAAGAGCGACCTCCTGAGTGATTTCCGCATACTCCGTCATGAATCTCTTTTATCACAGTACGGACCTGCTATCCGAAAATACAGATCATGTCAGGACCCGAGATGCTTCTTCTGTAGAGGATGCCGCTCGAAATGCAGAAACGAGCACTTTTAGCTTTCAGTCTCCGTGCCTCCCACTTATCCGCAGGAAGAGTACCATTAAGGATGTATTCTCTGATGGGTATCCGCCAGTCTGCCCCCAATCCGGAAGCGGTAGCGCTGGTGGTAGTGGTTCCGGACTTAGCGGTGTTCCGATTGGTGACTCTACTTCGGAGTTCTGCTCAGTTTCCTCGATCCTTTGTGGTTCTTGTTCCACACTCATCCTTCGTTGCATAGACCGTGTAGTCACGAAATTCAGCTCTCCGGTGGCTATACTGGGATGTTCAATTACTTCGACAGGGATCATTCGGCTCACAGTTACTTCGGAACTCGACGCCAATGCCGCTAAGGCATCCGCCGCTGAGTTCTCACTCCGCGGAATTCTAGTGAGTTCGAAACTAAAAAACTTTTTACTCAATTCCTGAACCTGAGCGAGGTAAGCTTCCATTCTGCCATCTTTAGCTTCATAATCACCGGAAAATTGATTAGCAACGAGCTGCGAGTCGCAAAATGCCCTTAATTTTGTGATACCTATCCCAACCGCTAGACGAAGTCCTGCAAGGAGAGACTCGTACTCCGCCTCGTTATTTGACGCATTAAATGCGAGACGAAATGACTGTTCAATTACCTCACCATACGGGGATTGTAATCGGATACCGATCCCGGAACCCTGTTTTGAGGACGCGCCGTCTACATGAAGTATCCAAGGTCCTTCATTTTCTTTGGCTCCCTCGGAGACCAGAGGTAGTTCGATCAGAAAATCTGCGAGGACTTGAGATTTCATGCTTGTCCTTGTTCGGAACTGAATATCATACTCGCTTAGCTCAATTGCCCATTTTACCAATCTTCCTGACTGACTCGGGCTATGCAAAATTGCTCTTAAAGGTTGCGAGGTTAGGATAATAACCGTATGAGATTGAAAATACGGTCTTAATTTCCGAGCTGAAGTAATTACTGCCAGAGCTAGCTTTTCCATCATCGGATATCTTGACTCCGCTCCCGAAAAAGACTTGCTTACATAGAAAATCGGTCTTTCATCGTTCCGATCCAATCGTACTAACACTCCACTTACTGCGCTGTCAGAAACCGAAACGTACAAGAAAAACTCTTCTCCGAACTCAGGTTTTGCTAACACAGGAGGTTTGGACAAATAATCTTTTAGATCTTCGAAAGCCTTTTCACAATTCTCATCCCAGATGAAATTCTTGTTTGCTTTTCGGAGCAGATTATAGAATGGAAGGCATCTATCGGTTGACCTCGAGATGAATCGGTTCAAAGCTGCTATTCGCCCCGTGAGTCGCTGAACTTCCCGGATATTGCGGGGCGAAGTCATCGCCAGAAAAGCGTTCAACTGTCGCGGATTAGCTTCGATTCCTCGCTCAGTGACAATGTAACCCAAAAACTCTCCCGAAGGAACTGCAAAAGTGCACTTGGTCGGATTCAGTTTCATTCCGAACTTATTCAAAATTGCGAAACACTGCTCTAGATGCTCAATATGCGAAGTGCTTGATATTGACTTCACCAACATATCGTCAATATACACTTCCATCGTTTTACCGAGGAGATCTTTGAACATCATATTCACCAACCGTTGATAAGTGGCTCCGGCATTTTTCAAACCGAATGGCATGACTATATAGCAGTAAGTTCCACGGTCCATGATGAAAGCTGTCTTTTCCTGGTCTTCCGGATTCATCAAAATCTGATTATACCCGGAAAAAGCATCCATAAAGGACATCATTTCGTGGCCCGTTGTTGACTCCACAAGTCGGTCGATGTGCGGAAGTGGGAAAATATATCTTTGGGACAGGCTTTATTAAGATCGGTAAAATCTACGCAAACCCGCCATTTCCCATTTTTCTTCTTGACTACAACAGGGTTTGCCAACCAGTCCGGATATTTGACCTCGCGAATCAAACCGGCGTCGAGCAGGCGCTGAACTTCGGAATTTACAGCCTCGGCACGGTCTGGACCAAGTTTCCTGCGTTTTTGTTTTACTGGTTTGAAAGTCGGGTCAATGTTGAGCTCGTGCGAAATGACCTTTGTATCGATCCCAGTCATCTCTTCGATTTTCCAGGCGAAAGTTTTTTTATTCCTTTTTAGGAAAGTTACCAGTTCGACTCGGAGTGTTTCGCTTAATCCTGCCCCTACTCTCACAGTTTGATCCGGATACTCCTCATTAACTACCACTGCCTCCACGAGGTTACTGCTTATTTTTTTGACGGGATTTGCAGGCACCTCGAACTGTGGTTGCTATTGAATTTTAAGCTTATGGCTGGACATGTAACACATCCTCGCAGCTCGCTGACTTCCCAAGATTTGCTTTACTCTGGATTTCGTAGGGAATTTCAAGCACTGATGATACGTCGAAGGTATTGCTTTCATCTCATAAATCCAGGGTGTTCCCAAGATGACATTATAAGCAGCCGGACGATCGAACACCGTGAACTCGATCATTTTGACTATGCCCTCTACGGATACCGGGAGCACAATCGTTCCTAGCGACATTGAAGTTTCGCTAGTAAAGGAAACCAAAGGAGATGGCGGGCCCTTTATATCTCGCTTCGATATCCCCATTCTTGTCAAAGTATCGAGGAAGATTAAATCCACCGAACTCCCAGTATCAATGAGAACCCGAGATACTTCGCAATGCGCAATATCGAGTGTTATGACCAGAGCGTCATCGTGTGGTTTGTCAAGTTGACTGGTTTCGCTTTCGGAGAATGTTACTTCGGGTAACTGTTCCTCAATAAGCCTGGCCTTCTTGATAATCGGGGGGGGGGGGGGGGGGGGGGGGGCCCCCCCCTCCGGTTGTTGGATTCCCCAAAGGGAACCCCCAAAAAACTTAAAACCCCCCCAAAACCCCGGG